GAGAGTGACTCCATGGCATTACCTGTAGGTATATTGTAATTGTACAGTGAATTGAGACTTATCTGGGGCAGGTAGAGCAGGCCTTAGAGCAAAGTCCTACTGCTGAATTAGAACTGCACCAGTATGGATTTCAGCAGGTTGGCTGGTGGCTCGTCACGCTGCATTGCTTTGTGTACTGCTCTATAAATCCATTTGTGGCAGACTGTGGGAGAATATGCCTGTTATTCATAGGCCCTTGTGTGCAAGTGCTCTCTGCTTGCCAGCACAGTAAATTAAACTGCTGGTGGAAAGACACAGATCCTACTCTAGAAGATGAACTCTTCCAGCTGTTAATGTAAGTCAGATTTTGGGACAGGGAGCAAAAGGGAAAAAAAGAGGGAGATGAAGGGTATGAGACTTGGTGGAAGGAATTTTGGCAGTGGGTTTTGCCCTGACGAGCAGCAGGGTTCCTTGCTAAGGAGATCACGTACGCTGCGTGCAGGCCTGGAGTCATGGAGACAGCTGATGAGAGTTTAGGCTTTGCCAGACAATAGCATTGTAGTACACACACCAAGAAAAACTCATCAGATATGAGTGGAAAAGTAACTTTCTGGAGAATTCCCTCATGGAGTCATTACTGAGCCTTCCCACAGCATGCTAGCACATGTGCAGACACATGGACAGAGATTCCTCTTGCTATGAACGATGCCACTGGGTACCCTAAGCCGTAGCATATTTGCGTTCACCACAAAGTATCTCATGGACACCACAGCCCCTTAGGTCTCCAGAATTCCTGCCTATAATCTACTTGTTCAGCCATTCCTCAGGAATAGACTCCTGTTCCTCAGTGAGGTTAACTACCATTGGAACAGTGGTATTTATGGGACTGTATTAAAAAAGAAGGAATGAGCAGTAGGTGCAGGAGGAATTGAGCACAGCCCAGAGATGGGTGCCCAAATTCTATCAAATACCATTGATGAGTGGAGATCGTGCACTGCTCTTCACAGCTTTTAAGTACATGCCACCAAAAGCAACCTATTCTGCTTTAGAAAAAGCATAGCCAATAGGTCGAGGGAGTAGATCTTTCCCCTCTGCCCAGCCCTGCTGAGATATACTCATGGTGCTAGCTCTAGTTCTAGGTTTGAAAAGAAACCTCAACATACTGCAGTGAGTCCAGCAAAACAACCTCAATGATAATTAAGAGATTGAAGCATTTTATATAAACAAGAGGGGGCTGAAAGAGCTGGGAGTCTCCAGCCTGGAGAAAATAATGTTCAAGAGGGGATTTTATACAAGTGTAAAAATATCTGAAGAGGAAAATTTCCAGTAAAGAAGATGGAACCAGACCCTAAGTAGTGCCTATTTGTGGGACAAGAGGAAGTGGACATTAGCTGAAATACAAAGAAGTCCACTTAAATATAAAATAATTTTTTTTTTCCTGTAAGGATGGTCAAGCACTGGAAGAGGTATCCTGGAGAGTCTGTGGAGTATTCATCCTTGGAAATATTCAAAGCCTGAGCTGATGTGGCACTGAGCAATCTGTTGCATTTGACCCTGCTGAGAGCAGCAAGGTCAGACTGGATGACATCCTAAGGTCTTTTGCTTCTGCAGCTCTTCTGTGACATTCTCTCCTTTGAAATAAGGACAATGGTGCTAAGCCAGCTTGTCTTTCCACAAGGCTACTGGAGTACAAGTAAAATTTCAGAAGTGTACAATCTTTTTCTTCATCACCTCTTGAAGCAGCAGTCAAAGAAGTTGGTGTCCCATAATTGGGTTTTAGCAAGACACATAACAGCTTGGCTATCTTTAACAACTATCCTTCAACACTAAAGCCAGCATGCTTTATAGCCAATGATGTTAGCAAACCTGTGCTAAGGAAAAAAGAAACAATTGCAGAGTATTTCCAGTCTTAGGCCAGAGGCAGGATGTCCAAGACTGAATCTGTCTGAAAAGTAATTTCCTTCTGATGTAAAAGACATTCTCTTTTTAATTCTCCCTCCTGCAAATACCATTGCTTTCTTATTTACTAAATGGGGCCAAATATCAGCCAGCAGAAAGTGTCCAACATGTCCCACAGTAAGTATCAACTTATACCCATTATGGAAAGCTTATGCAGGTCTGTAGAAAATAAGTGGCTCTTAAATGAACATTTTCTAGAAACAAAATAATTCTCTCAGCAATGTATTAATATTTTCTATGGAGAGGGAAAACAAATAATCCATGTCTATAATATCTCCACTGAAAATGTGCAAAAGGCTCTGCTACAGTAGAGGTTGCTCTCTCTCCTTGCTGTCTTCTTGTACTGTCTTATCTACCTATAGAATGGTAATGTAGTTGTTTATTTCTCTAAAGAAATTGTTGCTAAATGATTGTGGGAAGTGTCAGTTCCCTCACATGCTGTCTCAGCTGACACTTCAATTGTGGGTGCTTCTACCCTTACAGAGCAGAATAGGGTTTGTTCAGGAGCATTCCTTACATAAGGGAATCAGGAAAATCTGTCCCTTTATTCTCTCTCTGCTCTCATAAATAGGTGTTCTGTCCCAAAACATCCAACTGCAGGTCTGCCAGCCACACTGAGTCAATAGAGGGCTTGCCTGGCCCTGTAATAGTTTCAGGTTGGCCTAAGCACAGCCCAGCAATTCCTGGTAAGATGCTTCTCCTTAAGTTACTTTGCCCTGCAAACTGCTGGCATTGTTCTTATGTCATGCCCAAGGATGCCACCACAGCCTAAAAAGAAGGTAAAACTGAAGAGCCCTGTGCTAAACAGAAGGTATCTGCTCCTTGTGAGCTCAGAGTGTCCTTTTGGCTTCAAAGCCATTTGACACTAGGGGATCTGAGAAGCCTGCAGGCCTCCAGTAGGACTGGAAGTTGTGGTAATCATAGGGTCTGCACAACTCTTTGTGCAGGCAGCAAAGAAAGAAGATACAAATGCAAATGAGGATGTCTTCTGTGACAAAGGAAACTAACAGCACCCAATGTCTGGCTTGTACAAGTGATTATTAGCACTTTTTTGTGCATTTCCAAATGCAGAATAGCTGCTATTCACAAAAATGAATGACAATAAGGTTTACTGCTTATTATTTATATCATTCATTTATAATACAAACTATGGAATACAGGATATAGGGAAATATTATAAAAAAATGTTGCAAGATTACCAGAAAAGCAGATGAACATTTCTCATACAGGAATATAGAATAATAACAACTGTAATAAGTTTGAAAAGCCCCAGGTAGTGTGCAAACAATAAAATGCTACAAAAGTAATAAATCCATAAGGTTATTAGTACAAGAACAATGATGCAAATGGTTTCAAGTCTCATTTGGCTTTGAGCACTTTCTTCTAGGTCAGTGATTTGAATAAGAGGCAGGCAAACACTGCAGAAGATTTTGTGTAAATATTTGTTTAATGTTTTTAATGAATTCACTTAGCTTGTGTTTATTTTCCACTAATATTTTAGTACTGTGGTTCCCAATCTGCGCTGCCTAATATAGAAAGCCTGATGCTGTAAATGGGGAAGATGGATCAACCAGGCCATACACCCTTGTCACAGTGAATGTGCTTTGTGGCAAGTTCATGAATATGATTCATTTTAAACAAATACTGGAAAACTGGTCAAAGAAATCCAATTCTGTACTTGTTCACATGAGAATTTGTACCATATGCTTAGGATATGAGAATAGGATACATTTATTCTGTCCAGAAACAAGCTTGTACACTGAATCATCACTAAGCCTGGGAATTAATATTTCAACTTCAAATATTCAGAAAAAGAATGTGATTCACAGATATCTGCTTTTACTAAGAATTATTTGAAATAAATATAGGAACATTAATATTTTCACAACCTATTAATAAAACCAGAAATATGCAAAATACATTTAAGAGCTGATGCACAATTGCTGACCAGACATTATATTACATTTTAGTTATTACTTTCAATACACTTTGTTCAAAAATGGATCCTAATATGCAATGCCTGATGGGAATTCACAGACATCTATGGAAAGAGTTTAGCTCAGCTTCTACAGGAAGAGTCTCACAAAAACAGCACTGCAAATGCAATCTGCACTGCCTGGCAATTTAGCAAGGAAGCCATGGGGAGGCAACAAACCTCACTTAAATGTTTACTCCTCCTCCTCTTTCACGTGGCTGTTGGATAACAAACTGCTGAAGCACCAGTGTTAGGTAGGACTTAGGAAGGCAGGGAGCATGGGTAGTGCTGTTCTAGCAGAGTGGCAACACACCTCCTTTAAATATATTATGTTGCTCCCACAGGCTGTTGCCAGGCTAACGTATAATAAATTCTTCCTTTTTCCTAAGGCAGCACTATCCAATTCAGTTTCAGGTTTAGCAATGTCCAAGTTCATTACCCAGCTTCATCCCACCACCTGTCCTGTGGATTCTTGCCCAGCAAATTTCCTTTCAGAATTTCGTCTTTTCACCATCCAGTGTGGTAAAGTTTTTGCTGGGAAGTGAATGTTTCCAAGGCTGGAAAGAAAATGGTAGTGAAGCTCCTGCTAAAATAAATCTTGCTGAAGCCAAGGATACTGGAAAATGAATGACTAATGTCTAACCTACTATGTTGGCCACAATCCTGGGTAAAAGAGCTACAGGAATATCCAGAAAGCAATAACCTAGATGATACAATTCTAATCAGGATTTTGGATGCAGAAACAGTAATAAAACTCACCCTTCCCATAATCACATGCAATTTATTAACAACAGTGGCTAAAGAAAGCCTTTTGTTTCTGTGTTGTTATAAGAACTGCTGTGGTATAAGCATGTATTTTAAAAGGCCATTAGTTGCTGCTAAAACATTGGCTTCTCAAATACAGGAATCCATCTCTCAGTTTATGAAAAGAAAAGACTTTCCCAATTTTAAATAATATTTTTACAGACTTATAACAAATCTGATGGTTGCCAGGAAAAGGTAGTTCAGTCTATTTGGAGACTAGCAATTCAGAAACAGATAACAATATAAGGAACTAAGTACAGTATCCATATCATGACAAACTTACCACTCTTTACAAAAAATCTTGTGTCTTGTAAATTATGTCCGTCAAAAAAAATCCTGGACTTTTTCTTCATTTTGATGTAAATTCATGTAGAAATGCCACATGGATAAAAATCAGTATGATTTTGCTGAGGCATGGCACTGTGGAATTGATGAAAGGCTTGAGGTGTATTTGGGCTGGTGACTAGGACATACTCGTGCACACCTGCATAAAACCAACATTGAAGTAGATCAGGCTGCAATTTGGGAAATGCAAGTCAAGTTGATCTTGGAAATTCCAGATTGAAATTTCCTGTCAGGTGAGCAAGTGAAGCACCAGATGACTACAGCATTTCAGATATTACATTCTCTGGAAGGCAAATATGTATACATATACATATAAATGCATACATTACTTCTATCTGGGAAAAAATGAAGTTATATTTTGAAAGCAAAATGCTGTATCTACTTGCAAACCTCAAGGGCTGTGAAGGAAAGAATGTTACAACATCACAGACCTTTCCAGACAGCCCTTTCCTCCTCTGGCCCCCACCAATTCCTACCCAGATGTTAGAGTGCTACCCTCCCACAGGAGAGCAGTCTTTCCTGCTCTCTGTCTTTGTGATGGTTTTCCCACACTCTGCCTTCTGCTCACTGTTCCACTTCTCTTGGACTTGGCCAAGACAATTGTCTGGTCTTCAGACATCCCAGTCCCATGGTCCTTGTTCACTAGGTTGCTTTTCTTTCCTTTTAACCTCCCAATATTGACACGATTTCTCCAGTCCTACAGGTCCTATCCACTTCAGTCCTAGCTATTCTCTTCTTCCTCTCAAATTTTATAGTGTCTTTTGCCTTCTCCTCTCCCCAGTTTGCTTCTTTGAATACTTTTCATACCTCATACTGCAAGACCCTCTCAGATCAGACACCTTCAGCCTCTGGCTAACTGCCCTTTTCTTTTCCCAGGAGATTGAAATCCCTCAGATTCAAATTGTAGTGTTCTTGTTAGACCTTTCCTTTGCCCTACCTCCCATCTCCTGCCCATTCCAGCATTTTTAGCACCTTGTAGCACCATGGTCACAAGATAAATGCCAGTCACCCACAGCTACCACTGGACTATAATTAATGTGGGAGAAAACTTCAACAGAATTAATTTGCAGTAAGTACCCAGAAAAACATGTTTCATTTATACCCACGAAATTTCTAAAGACATATTGAGTTTCAGGATGACCTTACATGGAGGAAAGGAGGAAAGGCAGATTAACTAAAAATTCTGCTCCATTCCATAACAATTTTTAAAAGGAACACACAGGCAAAGCAGACAACACAACAGATTTTACCCTAGTCCTGTTCTAGGAAATGCCTGAGCATTCCATTAGAACAATAATTATAAGAAGTGATAATAATAGATTTTTGAGTCCACTGAACATAGACATTTTCAGGCCACAAAGTAAAAATTTGAAAATTTAGTTGCAGTAAAATGACTCTTTTGCCATGAGGAGTGTTTGGCTTACCAGCTTGGACATACTGGTCATTGTGCGTTTGCAAGTATGGAGCTTTAAAATTTATTTTTCATTCTTTGCTTGATTTGTTTTGTCCGTGTTTCTTTTTATTATGTGTCACAGTACTACTGGCATGATGGTAGCATGTTTGAAAGCTCTTCATATTTCAATGCTCTTGACAAAGCCCATCACTCTTCAACTTGTAGGACCTTGTCCAGGCGCTCTCAGAATCATGAGGAACAAGGCCACTGCTGCTCTCAGCTTCTGCTGAGGCTCAAGTACAGCAGAAAACAGACAGTCCTGCTGGCGTCAAAGAACACACTCTCTGCTACTGAGACTGAAGGTTCTCCTTTCTGCATTAATTAGGTTTGTATTGGTGCTCTTCATGAGTCATCCTTGGATTCTAGAACTTTCCACAACACGTGCATGCTGCTGCGCATGGTACACACGGAGTCTACAAACCCACAGATTGTGTTTCCTCTGCTCTGTCAAAGACAGATAGCTACCCATTTCCCCACTAAGATGATAAAACTGTAATTCTAGTGACTGATACAGAGAACTGTTTGAATTTAGGAGAAAAATGTGGATTTGTTGAGGGTGAACAAGAATTTTGTGTAGACATGCTGTTTGATTAAGGAGCTGACTATGATATCAATTATCAGCTATGACTGACTCAATTCTACCATTTCAGATATAATCACCAGCAGTCAGACCTGGCAGCTGTGGTGCATTCCTTTGCAGCAATATAGCTGTGTATAAAATAATGATATTTTGGATTACCCAAGCAGCTGGACTGCAACTCATAGCTGGAACTGAAGAAAGTAATACACATTTAATTTAGAGCAAATCTCGCATTTCAGAGTACACAAAGGCCTCAGTTTTAGCAGAGGTAACCAACATCTTGTTCCAGTATCACTTCTTTTCCTCCTAAAGAAATAATTTCTGAGGTTCTGAAGAATAGGTCATAACAACTTTATCAAATGTGCCTGGGACTTTGCAGCCAAAGCCTTATTGAAAAAGCAATGAGGCTGATATTTAATCACCATAAGCAAAGCTTTCCTATGAGAAAATCTGTAAGTTTCTCAATCTCTATTTATTCACACACCAAGGCCAAATGATGTCTTCAAGTTAAGATCCTTATAGATAGAATTGATTATTCCAGTGCTTGGCAGCTACATGGATCAATTTTCTTCTTTTTTTAAATTTTTATTTTTCCTTTTTTTGACATATGGAAATGTTAAGTATTGGAAATATTTTGGGCTAGCCTCAAATAAACATTAATTATGTTGGGGAATTCATTAGGTCATTTGAAAAGGATTTTCTTTTTAATGGAGTATTTGGCCTGCTATAGGATATAATGATCTTAATAAACCATGATTGCAAAATGTTAATTTCAGAATATCATAATCAAGTTAAATGATAAAGCCAAGAAGTTCCTGGAGATGTCTGCCTACATCAGTTGTATGTAACAGGCACAGTAACAGGTCATTGTAGAAAAAGGTCTCAAATCCATTTGCAGCTGCTTGGATTCAGCATTCCTGGTGCAAAGCCAGTGGAGCCAGCTTTTCCTCCAGTCCTTTCACTGCAGTGCCTTTGGTAGGAGAGGAATGAGGCTCTACCACAGGCATATCTGCTTTCTCTTATCAGACACCAAAGCAGCTGCAGCCCCAGAGCAGTGGAACCACGGGAGAGCAGATCTGTCCCATCACTATTTAAGTCCCAGGAAGAACAGCAAAAGTGGCAAGGGTAAAATATCCTAAAGAGAGAGAGAAAGAGCAACCTGCTTCCCAACATCGGCTGAGCACTGGCAAGAAGCCAAGGCTGCCAGAGCACATGGAGCGCTCCCAAGGACGACATGGGATGACAATTCTGTGTCTGCAGCCCATCCATCTTGGCAGCACACAGGCATCTGTGCATTCCATGCACAGGAATTTTTGTAGCAGCAGTTGTAAGGGGATTAAACAGGTGCCTGATTCCGAGGTACATAGGAAGGACATAAAAAAATATAATGATATAAAGTTATGAGGACAGCAATGTGAAAGGAATGAGAAAGGAATAGGGAAAATACTACAAAGCTTTTCAGGTCCTCTTTCCCTCAACTTAAAAGGAATTACTCTGAGGTGGAATCAATGCCTGACAATGAAAATAAGAAACAAAAATTGCTTACTCTGGGCAGCATCCATGGATATCCAGATAAAAACTCAGCATTTCCACTGTCTTGTATGCTTCAGATGTTTTCACAGAGGCAAGGATATGCCACGTGTTTTCATCTGTGCTTTCCCTATTGTATTTCAACAGCATTAGAAACTGAATTAAGCTCAAATGGAATTTAAAGCACTGGAAATTTGTCTAGAGAGGATTTAACTATATCTATTAACTCAATGGGACTTTCAGATAGCAAAATAACAGTTTGAAAGTTCCCACAAACAAGCAGGAATGACACTTTAATCTGGGTTCACAACTTTTCTATTTCAAAAAAACACTGAACAGACAGAACACCTTTGGAACAGAATACTTAGTCTAGTCAGGAAACAAAAACATTGTTTTCTAATAACTTAAAAGTGTATTCTTATTTTCATATTTATATTTTTTTGGCCACAAATCCCTACACATTTTATTTTCAGTCAAGTAGAAGAACTTTTGAAAATATACCAGATTTGTTTAATCACCTACTTCAGGCTCTGAAGGGAATGAAACAGCCACAAGAAGACAAGTGACTTTTTTCCTTTCTCTAAAGCAAGTTCATGAAGCAGGTTTTTCACTGGATTTATCTGGAGCTGGATCTTGATATGGCCTAATGGGATGGGTACACCCTCTACACCCAAGATGGAAAGCATAGCACGGAACAGAGGACACATTGTAATGTACCAGAATACCTTTTCAACATATCTCTACACTCCTTGTGGCTTAGGAAAGACAGAGATGGAGAAGCCACTGCCAAAATGCCCCTGGAAGCATTGACCAGTGCTTTGGAGCCTTGTGCTGCGACTGCAGGAAGAGGAGTGCACACATCTCTGCAAACCGGGGTCACCAGGCTGACTCCTCCACTCACTGTCACTTTTTGGATCTTGTCATCAGCACCTGATTGCTGGCCATGCTTTGTTCATATGGCTGTGATAATTTCCTTTCTTAAAATAGTGCTTCAAACTGAGTCTGCACACCTCTTATGAGTGACTCTACAGATTCATTTAGCATCTGCCACTGACTTTCCTTCTCTCTGCTGCCCCAAGTAGCTCGAGTTGTGCTAAATCTTGTAAATCCTTTCTGTCTTTGTTATGCTTAATTATATAGCTGTCAATCTTAAAACACACAAAAGAGGGAAATTTGAAAACATTCTGGGATTTGTATTATACTGTTGAATGAACTGGGTTTTTTCCTATTGCATGGGAAAGACAGATTTAAATGAACTTTTCGCAGACAAAAAGATGGGTGAGTCTTTAACAAGAAAGAAAAGAATTGGCAGGTGTATAATTATTTTACTGCTTCTACTTTTGTTACTTTCCTTCCTTATTGTCAGTCTTCCCCCTCTCCCCAATCCAGTTAAAATAATAATAATAATAATAATAATAATAATAATAATAATAATAATATTTCAAGCCTCTTCTTTCTATCCTAACTTTGTGGAAAGAGCTACAGCATCCACACATATATACAAAGAGATGCTTTCTCTGAACAAAATTATCTGCTGCTAGCCACACATCTCTGGACATTCGTACTGGAGTTGAGG